GTGCTCCATGGAGTTTATGCCCTGGGCTGTTCCCTGGCAATCAGCTGTGGTACTGATGCCACCTGAATTGCCATCTGCATTGACTCGACCCTCGCTGTCACTGGCACCACTGAAGCTGTTCCTTTCTTATTCTTTTGTTCTATTCTCGTATTTTGCCAACAGACCATGCTGTTCCAATGAATGAAACTGCTGAAAGCCTTTAAAGAAGTAGTTAGTTCTGGGAATTGGGGGTCATCGTTAGAATAATTCCTTAATGATGTGGAGCAGAAGGAGTTAGTCTTACTGGGAGAAACCTTAGTAACCTTCTGCAGAGAAACAGTTACAGCAGCCCCCACTAGGCATCTGCCTGGGAAGACACGTACAGCTGCAATTAGAAATCAGATGGTGGTCGCCCCCATGCTGACCCCAAAGTGTGGTAATTACCTTGATCCATTCCCATATACAGAAGGCCTATAAGGCCTTTTCTGTGAGCAGAAGAGGCCTAAACTGATAACAACATCAGAGCCTGGGAATCAGGAAGAGAGTTGAGATCAATGGTGTGAAACAGTCTCAGAGAAGTGTGACATCATGTCTTTGAGCAACAACCACAACTAGCGTTTAGAACAGACAATGGACACATATTTGCTGTTCTTGTTAAATGACAGTGCTGTTCCTTTTCTTTGTTTATATTCTATGATCTAATGACGTATGCCTTTGCCAAGTTCCTTGATTGGAAAAGTATAAAAGCCTTAGGCTAATTAAAGTGAAAACACAGCAACATATTCAACCACATTGAGTGTGTTTGCTTGTCATTTCCTTCGCCGTATCCTGAAATCTCCTATCCCTTTGTCCTGTTTTCCCTCGGTCTGAGTGTCTCCACGAGAGACGGTCCGTGGCAGTAACCCAGACTCAGAAAGACAAACATGGTATGTTCTCACTTATAAGTGGATATTAGCTGTAAAGAAAAGAATAATCATGTTACAGTCCACAGATCCAGAGAGGCTAAGAAACAAGGTGTGCCCAAGTGGTGACACATGAATAACACTGGAAAGGGGAACAAGAACAGATTCTCCTGGTGGACTGGGGCCTGATGGGGATAGAACTAGGAGGGATCAGGCTGGGGAGCATGAGGGAGAAAGTACTGGGAGACATGAATGGAACTGGAGGTCACTCTGGAGGCAAAGGTAGAAAACTAGTGCAATGGAAACATCATGAAGGTGACCATAGTGAAGGGACCAGTAATTGCCAATACAGAACCTGCACTGGCCATCTGCTGTAATCAAGCATGGCTTGTAAAGGGGGACTTGGCCAACAATCCAGCCATAAAGCCCTCAACCTACAATTTGTCCTGCCTGCAAGATGTGCTGTGGTGAAGGTGGAGCACAAGGCATGGGAGTGGCAACCAGGTACTGGTCCAGCATGACAGCCAGTCCAGGAGAGGGAGCCCATGCCTGACATGCTGGAGGACAAGTAACTAGAGGCTAGGTAGCACAGATAACTAGAATAGAACCAGACGTCGATGGAATGACTCCCAGTGATACTCTGCTATACTCATAGACACAGACTGCCATAATCATCAGCAGCAAGGCTTTATCCAGCAACTGATAGCAGCATATACAGAGGCCCACAGCCAAACATTAGGCAGAGCTCAGGGAGCCCTGCGGAAGAAGGGGAGGAAGGATTGGAGGAGCCAGAGGGGTAAGGGACACCACATGAAAACCCATAGACTCAGCTAACCAGGGCTCATAACAGCTCACAGAAACTAATCCAAAAATCAGGGAGCTGCATAGGTCTGACCTAGTTCCCCTGCATGTATGTGACAGCTCTGTAACTTAGTGTTCTTGAAAGGACTGTTAACAGTGGGAGTGGGAGCTGTCTCTGACTCTGTCTGACTTTGGAATCCTTTTCCTCCTACTGAGTTTCCTCACCCAGTCTTAATATGATGGGATGTGCCTAGTGTTAATAGAACTTGTTATGCCATGGTTGGTAGACATCCCTGAGAGACATGCCCTTTTCTCAAGGGACACAGAGGAGGAGTGGAGCTGGAGAAAGGAGAATTGGGAGGGAGAGGTTGAGAGGGGAGGAGGGAGGGGAAACTAAAGTTAGAATGTAATACATGGGAAAATAAACTGAAAAGCTGCCTTTCCTCCTGTAGATGGCACTTTAATTCATGTGGTTTAAAACAGGATCCAGACTTACATGCAGTGTTTATTCATCCTCAGCTCTCCATTTAATTACTATTCAATAAGTTGCAGTTATTTGATGTCCATTTATCTTGGAGAAGGTGCATATGTTCTCAATGCATATTGTCTTTTCTTTTATTTATTTATTTATTTATTTATATTTTATGTACATTGATGTGTTGTCATGAGTGTTGGGTCTCCTGGAACTAGAATTACAGACAGTTGTGAGATGCCATGTGATGGCTGGGAATTGAACCTGGGTCCTCTGGAAGAGCAATCAGTGCTCTTAACAACTGAGCCATCTCCCCAGCCCAAATATTGTGTTTTCCATAGGCCTGGCAGACAGATTCTGTGTGTGTCTCTGGAAGTCTTCTCTAAAAGTTCTATGGGCTTTCAGTTTCATTCTATTCTCTCTGGCTCTCCATGTTCAGCCACAGTTACCACTTCAAGATGCACATCTGATTCTCTTCATTGTTTTATATTTGAATTCCTAGAAACTAATCTAATCACACTAGTATTTGTAAAAGTAGAATTTAACTCAAAATTGACACAATTTGAAATCATTCATTAATTTCATTGCAATTAACCAAGGGGTAGTTCACTTATTTTCTTCCTTAATGAATCTTGGTATTTATTGGTTAAAATACACAGTTATTAATATTGATATTAAAATATATCTTCTGCTTAATGGATTTACATGTTTTATTTTACACTAACATTAAAATTCGAATCTTCATTTATATCCCAGATAACATCATGAGAAAATTTCTCATGTTCTCCTTGCATATCATGTCAAATCTTTCTTTCTGTTTTACTGTCAGACGATGTTTCCAGTCTCCAATGGTACCTAATGGGATAAGCATGTGAACAGCACACATATGAGTGAGCTTTTCTCCAACCCGTTTAAGGTAACTGTGAGATTTCTGTAGAGTTTGCTACCTTGCCATTCTTTATAGAAGACTGGGCAGTGCAAGAAGCATATGCAATAACACAGCAAATGCATTACGAAATCACTACTCCATGTGTTATGTGAATTGCTGCACACATCTCTAAGGTTTACAAGTAACATCCACATATAAGAGAAAATGTTCAGTATTTGTCTTTCTGTGTCTGCCTTTCCTCACTCAGGATAATTTATTTTTAAGCTCTATCCATTTATATCAGGATTCCAAAATTTTGGGTTTTGTAACAGTTGAATAATATACCACATTTTTATTATCCATCAGTGAGGACAGCACCCATAGTTGTTCAGAGACTTTGACTTCACCTCTGACTGAGGACAATTGTTAAACCTGCACTCAACAACTGTTTGTTGAACCTGGTAAGTACATATTTGGATGTTTGGAGTCTAAAGGTGTACTCTCTGATGCTGGGTAAAGGTCCTACATCCATTTGAATGTCCTGGAACTTCCCATTCCCTGTTCACAGTGGGGGTTATTCCTGATGTCTGGGCTCTGGGTGTGCTTTCTTTTCTCCTTACTCTTTCCTGGATGATTATTCGTTACTCTCTGGAATGGAATACTTCTCTTCCTGTCCTCCACTGACATCTATTTAATGTTCCTGTTGGATCCTCGTTTTTCCATGGGAATTTCATTGCTCCTGGAACCCATTGCTCAAGCCCCCTTTATCACATCACCAACTCTATGTCTTGTTATCAAGATTCGGCTTAGAAGCTTTGAGGGCCTTGAGAAAGCTATAGTTTCACTCAGCCGTCTCTTATTTCCACTCCTGCTATTTCTGCCTGTCATTTCTGGGTTCTCTTCTACTTCTTAGAGTCCTTTTCTTTACCCACTCTTCTTTTCTTCCTTGCTCCCTTCCTTCCCTCCTTTCATTCTTGCTTCCTTCTTTTCTTCTTTCCTTCCTTTCTTTCTTGGTACTCAGTTAAAGAACTCCTTCATTCAGTGATACTCCAAGACAGTCTTTAATGCCTATGTATGCCCCCCTTCAATCTTTTAACATATTTATATGGATTTCTACTGTTACCCAGATGTCTCTAGCACTTCAGTCACCTGAATTTCGGCCCTCTGTCCTTTACCATGGTGTGAATTAAACACGGCTATAGTCAGAAAACCAAGGCTAAAGAAACCCCTATCTGTAATAAAGAGTAGAAATAATTATATTTGGTTTTACTGTCAACCTTCTATAAATCAGAAATCTATGTAGGGAGCCTTCCCTAAATAAGTGTCCTGCCTTGGATGATGTGGAGAGACCTTTCCCGTTGTTGCACCTTCTGACAGTAGTCCAGATAAAGGGTGTGCCAGAGGAAGCTGATTGCTCCGTTTGTTCCCTTGTCCTTTCCTCTTGCCACCCTGGCAATTTGTCCTTTTGCTGCTGCTGTTGATCCCTTCTCTGATATCAGAAAAGTGTTTCCAGGCTTTTGTTATAGAATGGAGAGCTGCAGCTCTCCAGGGACCTTCCAGGCTCTGCTGCCAGACTGGGACTGTTGAGACACCCAGCCCTGGGGCTGAACAACTGAGGACTGTCAGCCCATGCACTGTGCCTAGCAAGACAGCCATTGTGGAACTACACTGGCTGCTCGGATACCCATTTTTAAATCGCAGTAACTACTGTAGTCTCCTCTCTTAGTTGTGCTTCTGTTGTTTCTATGTCAAAATTGAGTTGATAGATTCACTTACATTTAGTTCACTAGCAGGGACTTTAGAGACATTTAAATGTGTTATGGATATTTCCCAAGTCAGTAGCTTAAAATTTAGTTCACAGCATAATAACATTATATGTAAGAGCAAAGAAAATCTAAAGTGCGTTATCTACAAAGGTTGATAAAAATAATAATAATAATCTATCGTATATAAGTATAACATCTTCAAACAACAAAAATAATCAACAAAATGTTTAGACTTTATTGAGTAGGGAAAAATATCTTCTTCCCTCTTTTCTGGTTCTTGTCAGTTCTGATATTTTTTCCAATTCTTGGTTACAATTTTCCAAATTAAAATTTCTAATATTCCCCCCCAGCTTCTTTTTGAGTCAGCAAAAGTTGAAGATTTATTGTGTGAGCAAGAAGATGTTTCTTGATACAAACTATGTTTTCTAAATCTTATTTCCATTCATGTTTGGTTGCATTCATGTCTGTATATGCATGTGTGATCACGTAGACTGGAATTATAAACAACTGTGAGCTGGCATGTCAGTTCTGAGAATTGAACTCGAGGTCTCTGGAAAAGCAGTCTATGCTCTTAACCACTGAGCCATTCCTCCACAGTTCTTAATTAAAAATTTAATCATAAAATATGAAACAAAAATGTCCACTACAGATAATTCTTTGTAAAGATTTTTATACATTACAAAGCACCATTTTTTTATTCTTTAGTGCACAACACGAATGCTAACTAGGACCCAAACTAATTTAATTTTGAAATTTAAAATCATTCATTAAACTCATTGCAATTCATCCAGTTATAGTTTGGTCATTTTGTTCCTTAATAAGGTTTGACATTTGATGATTAAGATACAGAAACATATTAATTGAAAGAAAAGTAAGCCTTTTGCTTACTGGATTTTTATGTTTATTTTATACTAACATTGAAACTCTAGTCTTCATCCATATCCCAGACAAACTTCAAGGGAAAGTTTTTCATGTTCTTCTTGAATATCATGTCAAATCTTTCATTCTGCTTCACTGTCAGATGATGCTTCCAGTCTCCAATGGTACCTAGTGGGATAAGCAGAGGGACAGCCCGTAGGTAAGTGAATAAAAATAATAAAGGTCACTTTAACAGTTCAATGTCTTCTCCAACCCATGCTAGGGAATCAGAGTGCTCTGTGGAGTTTGATTCCTCACCTTTCTTTACAGAAGACAGAGCAGGGAAAGACACCTACACAAAACACAACAAATGACCTGCTAGATCGCTGCCCCATGTGTTAATGGACCAATCATAACCCGTTCTTTAGGAAGAAACAAAAAACTTCAAATATGAACACATGAGAATTTTTAAAGTAGTTTACTATATGTCAAGCATAATATAAACCAACAATGTTTAACGATAAAATGTAATATATATATACCCCAAGGTTGTAGTTAAATATGTTCATGCTTTAGTCTTATATTTTATCCCATTGGTCTATATGTCTATTTTATGCCAGTACCATGCCTGTTTTATTATTATGTATTTACTCTATAATGTATTTTGATATCTGGAATGAATATCCCTACAATATTATTATTTTCTGTAATGATTGCTTTGGCTATCCAAGGTATTTTCTGATTAAAAATGAATTTTAGGTTGGCCTTTTAAAAATTTTCTGAGTAGTATGTTGTGGATATTTTGATCGGGATTTCATTGGATCTACATTGCTTTTGGTAAGATAGTCATTTTCTCTATCTATATTAAATCTACCAAACCATGAACATGGAGGTCTTTCCATTTTCTAATATCTTCCTCAAACTCCTCACAGATTTAAGCTTTTTCACTGCAGAGGTCTTTCACCTTCTAGGTGACAATGCCTGCATATGGTTGTTCATGCCTGTGTAGGTAGAGGCAAGACTAGGGGTCTGAGGTAATCCTCAGTTACACATAGCAAGTTCAAAACCAGCCTGAGTAACATGAATGAGACCATGTGTCAAAATTGGAAAGAAAATATTAATTCTTTATATGTAAGTATGAATCACAGACAATAGAGTGAATAAGACATGGCTGTAATTATGGCAAGGAACAAAAGTAGGGTATGAGAAATGAGTAGTTAAACCTCTTGCACTTTAAATATACGGTGTATTATTTTTTATAATATCCTGAAAAAAAGAAACAGAAGTAAAATTAAAATTTTTCTGGACTATCCAAGTGAATGCCCTCAAGTCTATTCCCAGTACTTGGAAGCAAGAGACAGGAGGAAATCAAGTTCAAGGCCAGCCTGAGCAACACAGTGTCTGTGATGCCAACCTGGATCAAGTAGTATGACTTTCTTTCAAAATCAATAAAGTCACCCCATTTCGAACTTTCTCTTCTAAAATATCCATTGCCTAGGACAAGACTCTTGACATGTCTTAAAAGAGTTGAATCATATGAGTCCTACTGGGTGATTGCCACCAATCACTCCCTCGTCCTTCCTCTACCTCTTTTGTGGAGGGAAGACAGGCATGAACAGTCATATACAGGCTTTGTGTGTCAGCAGTTGTGAAAAGAGAATGACCTACCCTAAACTGATAATCTTTAAGATCACAAGTCAAAATTTTTATTTATTAAATGATTTAATGTAACATTCTAAGACATAATTTGACATATATATTTCATTCCTTATGAGAAAGGAAAAGCACACATTAAATAAGCAAAACTATTGTGGTTTTTCCGATAATACTATTAAATTTCCTAATAAATTCTTTTAGTTCAGTGTCCATTAATATATTTTATGTTCCCTAGGGTCCCAGTGCCTTTATCACCTGGAGAAACTCATTGGAAGCACAGTACTATTGCTCCAAGGGTAGAGACTTGGGGAAGTCTCGGTACTTTCATTTTTACAAACCAGTGATTCTCACCTTTGCGCAGGAAATAGCCATTGCTTCTTGCCCCAATTTCCTTGTTTATAATATTACCATAATTTGCTCGTGGATCAGATTTCATGTTCTGAAACGTTGCTTGTCTCACAACAGCATCCACATCTTCTTCACTCAGTTTTTTCTCGAGAAAACTGCAGATTTTAAGCACTGAGCCCCTGAGGTCCTGAAAAAGTCATGGGTTGAGGAATTATTAGCTTTATGATGAAGGTCTGAGTTATAGCCAAACACGTGACATAAACATGTAGAATTCCTTCCTAGAATTCAAGGATGACACAACAAATGCTAAAGGAAATATAAATTAATATGATTATTTCAATTGATACAGAAAATAATTTCAATAAAACAGCACAAAGCAATAGAAAGTACTTGAAATACAAAACACATAAACAATTAAAGGGTGCTAATAATTGCTTAAAGAGACAAGTCAACTCTATGTATGTCAGGTTGTCTGTGTCGACACAAGAAGGAATAACAAGAGAGGACCACGGGGAGAAGAGAGCCCTGAGGCAGACCAGTCAATAAAGCAGGGACTGAATGTCAGGAACCTCCATCAACACAGAGCCCAAAAAAGGGTGTGGTATGAGGACAACAGAGAGTGTGTGGTTTACTCGGAGACGATAAGTAATTTTCAAAAAAAACTACCTCATCTTACCTTTTTCATATCTTCGTAGCTCAGGAACATTATATTGAAATCATGTCTGTGTTCATACCAGCCTCTAATGTGATCAAACCAACGGCTTCCTACAACTGAAGGGAAAATAACTGAGTAACAAAGTCAAGGCACTATATTTACTGAGAAACAAATGATATTCTTTCTTTTCTGGCTTAGAGTATTCAGAAGAAAAAAATGAAGCCCCTACCATTGGATGTCTACAGGACTATTTCAAAGAGTTCTTTTCGTGTAACAATTACACAAGGCTCATACCAATCTACCTACTTAGGGATGTAGCAAGACAGACAGAGATTCTAGAGGCTGGGGCAGGATAGATTGTTCAGTGGTTAAAGCACTGGCTGCTCTTGCAGAGGACCAGGTTCTCTGTACCCATATGGTGGCTCAGAAACCAACTGTAATTTCAGTTCCTGGGAATCTTAAGCTCTCTGCTGACTTCTAACATCACTACAGGAATGCTGTATATACATACATCCAGCAAAATGCTCACAAAACAAAACAAATAAATCTAAAACTTTTTAATAAAGAAATTCAAGTGTGTGACTTCAAAGATATCCTTCAGGGACTTTTATATTTCTCCTCTCTCTGAAGGCATATGTCTTCATTTCTCATGTCCTATCTCTGAAGAGCAGTGTTTTCTTGCAACAACGAAATAGAACCTGATTATAAGGTTAGCAATGTGTGAGATTCTGGTTCCACACCCAACAGTCTCTTTCATTCACCAGTTTTCCTCAGTAGTGACATTAATAATTCCAGTTTTCCAACAGGTATGTGTCATGCAGAGCACACATTCACCTTCAACTTTAGCTATATGACTCTTCCTATGCCATTAGATAGAAAGAACAAATAAAATACTTGTAAATTTTTTGCGGTCTAGCCAAAGTGCTTCCTAAATAATATAGAAAGAGCATTACAAGGTGGCAATTCTCAAATAGTCCTGATAGTGGCAGGATAATCCTTGTGTATCTGGTTATTTGGGTTCAGAATTGTTACTCTTTCTATGGTTCTCCTGCCACCTCCATCTCCTAGACACATGTTTCTACTTTGAGATGCCTTAAATGTCATCTGTGTTTTATAAACAAGTGAGAGGGAATAAATGTAGTTACCTTTTCCATCTAGAAATTTTTCCAGATAATGTTCTATGGTGTCTGTAGCTTCTAGAGTAGACACCCAATTTGAGAAATGATAAAATGAGATCAAAACATCTTTGGGATTTCTATAAATATAAAGAATCTGCAGAAAAAAATACAAAGTTGCTTTAGTAATTCTTGGTTATTCTAATAAGTTCTAAACAATTACATAATAGTACTTGTCCAAATAAATTTTTATTTACATCTAGGTAATATTTATGAAAATGTAGTTGGTTATCAACTTTTTGTTTCATATTATAAAAGTGAATACTTCCATTTACATAGTATTCCACACATGTGCAAGAACACATGTCAATCAATGTTCTAGAAATATATTATTTTTAAAGTTGATAAATATGGTAAACATTCTTTCCATACAGCTTAATGCTATAAACAATTGATATTCATTAAGTTTTCTGAGATATCTTATATATAGCCAAGGTAGCAGTGAAAATAAGTGGAAAATATAAGAATGAAATATTCTTTTGATAAAAACATCAACAGTATGTACATGTAATTTAAAAAGTAATATCTCTCTACTGTTATGAACAATTATTAGTGAGTTTGTTAAGAGCATTAGACCAAAAACAAATACATTTCTAGTCTTGAAACAAGGAAATATTTCTTAAATAAGGTTTTTGTTGTATTAGGTTTTTGTTTGTTTTTTTAGAAAGAAATTAAAGTTGGGTGGATAAGGATGGGGAGAGGATTTAGAAGAAGGATTGAGGGAAGGGAAGAATATGTTCAAATTATATTTAAACTTAAAATTGTTTAAAATAATAAAAATACAATCAAAATAAAATAAATAAATAATGAATTTATATTTTTAAAAGTCAACATATTTGATTATACTAAATTAAGAATGATACTAATCAAATTAAAGCACAAAGTTTCAAAACATGAGAAAGGCCATAAGTAGAGCAGCATGCAGAAGTGACAGAATTAATACCAATAGGAAAATTATGCTAAAATTATAGTAAGGAAAAGCTTGACCAATGATAGAATTTTTTCACAGGATTATCACTGGTCATGGTCAGTAATATCAAACTTTTTAATCTCATTATTTAACAGCCATATGAAAATTAAGACCGGTGTGAGTCATCATTCAATATCTGGCACATTGACAAACATTGATGTCCAACGTGTCAAGTTACTAGAGGAAAAACAAGAATTGGTTCTTTGTAGGTTTCAGCAATAACTGATTATCCACTTTCTTCAGAAATAATCCACCTCCTCTGTAAGCTGACTACTCCGGTCACTGTGGCTATGAAGTTCTATTCACAGACGAGGGTTCTAGGGAAGCTGGTAGAAGACATTCTCGAGAAAAACCAGGTAGATGTACATCATAACACAAATACTGAAATACTTTTATTATTTAATGCTTAATGTATTTTGTCTGTTCAAAAAGCTCTATGACATACTTTAGTCTGTTTATTCTTGAGACCTTTTGGCACTAAATAATATGGAAGGTGGGAAGCGAAGATGCGAGGTGACGGCATATTGACATAGTCTAAATTATGTATATTGTACTCAAAGAATGGTACTCTGTCCATTGTTTCAATGTTTTCAGTACTATTCCGGTGGCCATCAAAATAAATCAGGCTGAGAATCTGCTGGGTCCAGATGGTGCCTGTGAAAAGAGGTAACAATCCTATTTTCAACCTTGAGGTAGATTTAGGTAATAAATAGCTATAGTAACTTCATCCTTCTTCAAGTCTTTGATGCTTTTTTAATATTCCATGTATGCTAACAAGCAAGTATAATTTTTGTTTGATTTTTATTGTGTTTAGTAATAACATTAGAAAAGATAAAATTAAGGGCTCTAAATTCCTTTTTTTTAATTGTATAGTTGTTTTGTTCCTATTTCTTGATAGAGATTATTCAAATTATTCCTATAGCTTCTCTGTATTCTGTGTTCCAAGAGAAGTCTTTTTGTAGTATTTCAAACTTCTAATTGACAAATAGCGTTTGTAGATTACTGGGTACATTCTTATAATACCACACATGTACACAGTGTGCTAAAATCACATCAAGGCAAGAACATTAACCTCTTGCTAACTTTTATTCAGTTTGTAGCTTTCTTGATCTTCATAATATATTCATCTAGGGTATAGGATGCCCTTTAACTGTGTGTTACAGACATTGCTCTTCGACCGAGACTCTCTTACAAGTAGAGTATTACAATTTTAGAAAACTTAAAACTGAAGCCCACACCCAGGTCTCCATGTTCCCTTGAATGGATTATAAATACATTGTAGGAAAAAAAGAGGTCAAGGTTTCCAGTTTTCTTACTAATTCTTGGATTAATAACCATTCAAGTAAGATGACAACAATAAAACTATTTGGGAAATAGATATAAAAACCCAACACCTTTTCCAGATCAAATGGATCTGGGTGTAATCAAATGCAATGGTACTAATGTTCGACTTTATTTATTAGTGACGATTCTAAATGATTTGCCAGTCTAAATTTGACTTGGACATTCACTCTTGTTATTCTGAGGATGACATTATGGTGAATTTCAGGAAACAGTCCCTGAAATTTTGAAATAACCATTCTTAGGAAGATGTCACTGACTCCAGAGGTGTAACAATTGGAGTGTCTGACATCTTGCATGAGCCATCACAATCATAATCATTGTCCTAGCCTTTATCCAGGACCCCTAGGAGCAGTTGACAGTTCTCTAGAGAATACCAGATTATTTAAGGCACCAAACCAAGGGTGTGATATGATGAAGAAGCTTTATTTATCCTTTTCTCTTATTGCCATGACAAGGATAGGTTACCAGTATGGACCACAGCCAGGATACATACAGTTCATGCTGAGGTGTATAAATGTACATCTAGAATCATATTGGTCCCAGGTTCACAAAAGGAAGAATTCCCTGAAATATTTCTGTAAGACCTTGATATGGTTATACACTAGAAAAATAAAACAAATCTCCAAATACCTATTTTTGTCTCACAAAAAAATACCTAAGAGGAGATTTCAGAGCACTGATGGAAAAGGACCCTCTGAAAGAAAGTCATGCTTTCTGTTGGCTGTACCGTAAGTGCAAAACAAAACAAAAACAAAAGCCTATATTTCTGACCAAAGTCTCTTTAACTATACACCAATATTTATAAAAATGCAACAGTTTAACTTGTTAGTGTGTACAAAGACAACGTATTTTTCAGACCTTGACAAGTCCTTGAGTTTAGGATCTACAGTAAAATGAAATGGTTATTCTTAGAGTCATGAAGTTCTGTGATACATAGAAACATTTCGGAATAGAAAATAAAGCAGAAAGTAAACAATGAAATTAATTTTGAAGTGATGTTTTGATCTTTACATGCTTGCACATGTGCCTATGTCTGTTTGTGGTGTATATCTAGTAAATGTGTGTGTGGTGCACATGTGGATATGGTGGACAAGTGTGTGTGGGAGAAAAAGTTATGGTGTACTCGCTTGTATGTGAGTGTAGCCTGATGTATGTGTAGTGTTAAGACTACAGTTGCCTTCTGTCATGGTTGAAATACGTTCATTTTCTGAGTATGTGGTCCAGCTGGGTCAAATGAGCATCTGTGGAGTCTCCTGTCTCCATCTGCCTCCTCACCACAGGAAGCTAAAGATTACAGACACACATTACCGCCTCTGGCCTACAAGTCTTTAAGTGATCCAATCTCAGGTTTTCATCTTTCAAGGCCAAGATATGCACTTCATTCAACAGCCATCACCTCAGCCTTGATAAGGTTTTCTGGCCACACCATATGTAATTCCATTGTCTGCAGTGTTTGGCAGCAGCCATACATGAACTAGTTTTTAAAAAGGGCATATAAAATTTTAAAAAGGACAGATTTATTTCTTCTTAAATTGTATTGAGTAAACCTCAGTTCCTGTAGAATACTTTTAAAGCAAGTGCTATGTGGTCTAAAATTTAGCATTTGCAAATGAAGCATTTGCAAATTTGCATTCAGGAGAAATTATTTCAGATGATGTCATCCTGGTCCAACAGACCAAACAGGTCAGCACTCACCAAGGGTGTGCTCCTTGCTCTATGTCGCGCATCTCATCACAACATTCCTGCTTTCCCCTGGAGTACACACTACATTCTCTGATAGTGGCTTTTTCTCCTACAGATTGGGGTTTTATTTATTTAGATTTTATCTGACCATAAATTGTTATGTAAATATAGGTTTGCTGCTTGCGGAGAGTAGACAGGAGCCATGTTTCCACACAGAAAAGTAAACCAAAGAAGACATTAAGAGCACATGCCTACTCCTGGCACTTACCAGATTTTGGATAGGTTACTATGAAGACATCATCATCTCTAATTTCAAAATCTTCCATCATTTCTAAATGTTCAACATCTGTAATCAATTTCTCAAAATTATATCCTTTAAAGTTAAGCAAATATTCATCTGTGTTATCCATAATTATTCACCTAGAAGTAAATACATAGAATACATTCTGTGGGTCAAGTATTATACAATACTGAATATCAATTGTGGGGAGGTTTATATGGGCCAAGCACTATTAAGATATCTTATGTGCATAAATATTTACTGTGAAAAATAAATTACATAAGTTATCTAAATTTCATAATACTTTAATGTTGCTTTATTTTTCATATTACCTCATTAAATATGAGGAAAAGAAGAGTTAAAAGTTAGCACATTTTCCTGTAATTCAATGTAGATTATCTATATTGTCACAATTCTAAACACACAGAAGAGAAAATGGGGTTACAGAGAGGCCAACGAAATCATTCAAGGTTGCCCAGCTAGCCACCCTCAGAAGATTTCATAACAAAAAGTTGGGCACAGAGGACACGCAGATAATTTCTAGAACATTTTGCATTTTTTTATCTGCATGTTTTCATTCTCACAACAATAAGAAACTCTCCAAGGTGGATCTTTTATGTTTGATATAGGGTTTGGATCGCTTGCTCTCTCTAAACAAGGCTTCTGTAACTTATATACTGAGCTGCTCAATACCAGAGCTTCTAAAAGTAACTCATAGCTACAGTAACTTACACTTATAGTTATAGTAACTTATTGTTACAAGGTCTCCTATGAAACTTTTCATAATTTTAATTTTGAAACAAAAAAATCTAACATCAGGACTACAATTTAAGTCTAAATAATAAATGAATTAGAAATATCAATCAAACAATCTCCAGATAATTCTGATCTTGCCAAAGTTTGATCAAGCCTAATATATTCACTGAATCTGCCAAAGAACTCTATATTTGAAGATTAAAGTGACCAGAGAATGCTCACAGTTCTCATAGTACCTTAGCACTAGTATGCATCCCCTGAGTTGTTTATTTTTAGAAATTCTGTCCCCGAGAATTCAATTTGATAAAATCTGAAAATATAGCATTGACTAAATTGCATGTCAATAATCCACACTTAATTCAGCATATAGATGATTTGAGTGAGGCAAGCACTCACTATATATTCTAAGCTGGGTCCAGATCTTAGTGTATAGACCAGGCTACTTTTAATGTGCATAGATGATATTGGCTTTACTGGAATTACATCCATGCAACATGCTTGACTAATTTCTTTACAGACATCTATCGGATAGATAACCATTAAATGAGAATCACCTAGAAGGCTTCTTGCTGTGAACCACAACTTAAGATGTCTAATTGGGAACCTTCTGCCTTGCAGGTCCCCTCCCTAAGAACTCAAGTCCAACCATCCTCACTATAGAGTGTTGGAAATAAAAAGATTGAGCTGAAAGAACACACACACACACACAAACACACACACACACACACAAATTTCAGTGAAGGTAAATGGCACTGATGTTTAAAAGAAAGCTTAAATTTATCCTTGGGATTGTGCTGAAGTAACTACACAGCACATAACACTGATCAGTGGAAAGTCCATTCATAGAGAATATTTCTGGAGTAAAGAGGAGTCTAAAGAGAGTCTACCACATCTCACCTGACACCTACAGCACTTCCACATACTGTCTACACAGTCATCACATGCTCTCTCCCGACTTTCCTGGGTAGGTGTGTTAGAATGCCTCTAAAAGAACCCTGGATGAAATTTCCACTTTTTCATAATTGTATTCAGTCACACAACTGGGCTATCTTTTAAAAGAAAGAGGAGAGGAGGCAGTAGAGACGGGAGAAGAGGAAGAAAAGGAAGAAAAGGAAGAAAATGAGAGAGAGAATTTCATTCTCTAAAACAAGGTGAGAGGGTCTAAAGAAGGTTCATTTTGGAAACGGACATTGAAGGTTTTTAGTGACAGCAGGAAAAAATGATCATATAAGAAAAGACCAGGTATATGTCTCCTTCATATTTTTTGCAATGAAGCTCAAGATAAGAAGGAAAACAAAACTAATGAGAAAAATTATTGAGACAAGTTCTCTTTATGTAACCCTGAGTGGCCTGGAACTCACTATATAGACCAGGCTCATCTCCAGCTTGCAGAGATTTACCTTCTGCCTCCTGAGTGCTGCAATTAAAGTCAGGCAAATTCATGTCTAGACTATAAGAAGAGAATTGTGCATGTATTATGCAGAAGGCAGGGAAAGTCTTGGTATTGTCTAAATCTATTCTTTTCTACTCACAGTTTGCAGATCAATAGAAGAAGCAAAACCAGTTCTGATGGAATGTTAAGAAAAGCAGTAGCTGATGGGTGTTGAGGTGTAAATAGTCCCTGCCACGTTTTTCTTGGCCAATTGGAAGCGTTCTAGGAAGAATAAAGTGAACTAGGTTCAGATATATTGGGTAAGACTGTGCTGGGAGTAGAAAACCAGAGGCTTTTGGAGCATGAAATAAGTTAAACATTAGGAGATTATAGTTAAACATTACAGAGATCTGGAAGATAAATTTTACATTTACTTAGTTATAAGGATTATTATGTAAAGAGCAAATTATATTTGACACCTATAGCTACAACTTACTTGAATAAATTCTGGAAATGATGATAACCAAATCCTTTTAAGAATATCTGAGTAGCTAGTTTCAGTTTTTTAGGGAATTATTTTTCTTTTCTTTATCCCAGTTTGTCCAGGTTAAAGATTTTTTGTTTGTTTTTGGTTATTGTTTTTGTCAACTTGACTCAGGCTAGGTCATCTGCGAATAGGGAACCTCAGTTGAGGTTTCATCAAATCTCCCTGTAGGGGAGACTGTGGAGCATTTTCTCAATAGTGATTGATGTAAGGAGATGAGCCCACTGTGGGTGGTACCATCCTGGATGAATTGTGCTGGGCTGCTCAAAACACACACATACACACACACACACACACACACACACACACACACACACACACACACACGTGCACACACACACACTAAGCAAGGCATGGAGTGTAAGCCATAGCAGCAATCCTCCATAGTGTCTGCTTGAGGTCCTGCTCCCAAGTTTCTGCCTTGATTTTTTGCCCAGACTTCCCTTTACAATGGGATATAAGCTGTAAAATAAAATAAACTTTTTCCTGCCTAAGTTACTTTTGGTCCTGATTTTATCACAGCAACAGAGAGAAAATTAGGTCACCATCTGTGCTGGCTATGGCTAGTTTTATGTCAACTTGACACAAATTAGAGTTATCTAAAAGAAGGGCACCTCAATTGAGAAAATGTCTGTAAAAGGTCAGGCTATGAAGCATTTTCTTAATTAGTGGATTATGGGGAGACCATTGTGAGTTGTGCCATCTCTAGGCTGGAGGTCCTGTGTTCTGTAAGACAGCAGGCTGAGCAAGTCATGGAGAGCAAGCTAATAAGCCAGACTCCCCCAAGGCCTTTGCATCAAATCCTGCCTCCAGATCCTGTCCTGTAGTTTCTATCCTGACTTCCTTCCGTGATGAACAGTGTTGTGGAAGTGCAAGCTTCCCAACATGCTTTCGTTTACGGTATTTCATCAACAGCAGCAGTAGCCCTAACTAAGACTCCATCCTATTGTTAATTGCACCTACTCATTTACTTCCACCATCGCAAAAACAGATCACACCAATGAAGGTTCCAGTAGTTTCATAAAAATCATTTCATATATTAATTTATTTTCCAATGCCTTTAGAGGAACCTTCTTAGTGATTTCCTTCTAACCCTGCTCCTCTTCTTAGATGTAGATATTACCTGCCTTTGGCTTTCTGCAATAATGGGCTTTTGTTCAAGGCCTGTTTTCAGTATCTTCTCTCACGTCTTTGCCCATTTTTCAGTTTTCTGTTTCCCACATTCACGGCTGTTAGGTAATGATTCTCAGGTTGCCACAAAACACAGAATTTGGCCCCAGGAGAGATTCTTAATCTGTTCAGTGTACAAATCTTTCCTGGTGAGATAATAGAACATAATCTAAGGGTAATTCAAGCTTCTAAACATTGATTTGTCCCATTGTACATAATGCTTTAAACTAAGGAAATATTTGTAAAATAATCCAGGTTATAAAGGAAGCAGTGTACAAAATATGGATATCAATGGGAGAAAACTACTTACCAAAATGAACAGTTAAGCCAAGATCTTCTGGTTGTATTAATATGAACTGTCTTTGAACTGGATGCTTTCAGGGTCTTAGAAGACATACAGGTCTCATGAACTTAGAAAGGAGAGGAGAAAGAGAAACAGGACACTTGTAACAAACTGCAATAGAAGGTACAACAAATTTCTCTTTTCACTAATGGAACTTTTACTAAAGTTTGAAAATGTAGAAATTAATAGATTTAACCCAATCCATGAGAATTTTTCTTGCAATAAACACAAAAAATAAAAAACTGAAATTCATTGTTTATGAAGAATTTTTCAGATGATTAAGAAAAGCAACCAAATCCATAGGAAAAGGGGTCAAAATTATGACTAGATAAACACACAAAATAAATTCTAGTGAGTACTAAGATTGATGCTGTTCTTTCTCTTTAATAATCATGGGACTACAAAATACATCATGGACTGATTCTATAACTTGGTTATTGTGAATAGGGCATCAGACACATGGATATACCCACATCCTTGTGACAAGGTCTCTAACCCAGGCTATATACTCAAGAGAATGGCTGAGTCAATGCCATTTTAGTTTTGTCAAGGGCCATGAGATGTATAACAGTGTTCAACAGGCCGGCCCACCAGATGAATGATTCCCTGGTAAGGAGCCCCACCTGGCAGGGCCATGGAGTTACTGGCTGTGGAAATCAGTTGTTTCTGTCTATACATTTCTCTCATGAGTCACTTCATTTCTTCCCTAAGAAAAGCTTTAGGCATTTCCCATTGCCTGTGGTATATATGTATATGTGTATGTGTGTGTGTGTATGTCTGTGTGTGTGTCTGTGTGTGCGTCTCTGTGTGTAGTCTGGAAGATAACTTTTCATTTGACTGCATAATTCTGATATATAGAATATATATTGGATACCTTGAATTTCCCCACAGCTGACTTGGGACAGAGCAACCTCAGTTTACTCCTGTTCTACTATTTACCCATAGAGATACAGAAAAAAGCTATGGATTACTTAACCAACTCAAGAGAAAGGAATTCCTTCTAACTTAGATATTTTTGGGAACAAGTGCCCTGGTGCTTGGTGCAGAGACTGAAAGTATCTCCGGGTTTGGTACTACACAGCCATAGTTTTTCCCTTTGACAAAGAAGTCAAAACTGTACAATAGAACAACAATGAGGACACTAAGAGAGACTTACATAGATCTAATCTACATGGGAAGTAGAAAAAGACAAGATCTCCCAAGTAAATTGGGAGCATGGGGACCTTGGGAGCAGAGAAAAATGTAGAACTCAATAAAAATCAATAAAAAAAATCAATAAACAATTTTATATTTAAAAAGAAAGAAAGCATCTTCAACAAATGGTGCTGGTATAACTGGATGTTGGCATATAGAAGAATGCAAATAGATCCATATCTATCACCATGAACAAAACTCAAGTTCAAATGGATCAAAGACCTCAACATAAATCCAGCCACACTAAACCTTATAGAAACCTTATAGAAAGTGGGAAGTAGCCTTGAACACATTATCAGAGGAGACCACTTCCTAAATGTAACACCAGTAATACAGGCACCGAGAGCAACTATTAATAAATGGAACCTCCTGAAACTGAGAAGTGTCTGTAAAACAAAGGACATGGTAAATAAGACAAAACAGCTGCCTAGAGAATGGGAAAAGATCTTCACCAACCCCACATATGACCATGGACTGATCTCCAAAATATATAAAGAACTCAAGAAACTAGACATCAAATTACCAAATAATCCAATTTAAAAAAAAATGAGGCACAGGCTTAAACAGAGAACTCTCAACAGAAGCATCCCAAGTGCCCAAAAGACACTTAAGGAAATGCTCAACATCTTAGCCATCAGGGAAATGTAAATCAAAACAACTCTGAGATACCATCTTTCACCTGTCAGAATGGCTTAGAACAAAAACACTGATGACAGCTTATGCAGGAGAGAATGTGGAGAAAGGGGAACACTCCTCCATTAATTGTGGAAGTGTGGTGTAGGAGGTCCTTCTGTCCATGTGTTGCTTTCATTGGTTAATGAATAAAAAAACTGCCTTGGCTTAGTTGATAGGGCAGAACTTAGGTAGGCAGGGAAGACAGAACTGAATGTTGGGAGGAAGAAGGCGGAGTAGGAGAGAGACACCATGGAGCCGCCAGAGACAAATGTGTTGAATATTTCCCAGTAAGCCACTGCCACATGATGATACACAGATTAATAGAAATGGGTTAAATTAAGATGTAAAAATTAGCCAATAAGAAACTAGAGCTAATGGGCCAAGCAGTGATTTAATTAATAGAATTTCTGTGTGGTTATTTCAGGGCTAAGCTAGCTGGACGACCAGGACATATAAAGGGCCCTCCTCCCTGCAACATTTGGCACCCAACAGAAGTGCAAACTTGCTCAGCTGCTGTGGAAATCAGTATGGAAATTTCTTAGAAAATTAAGAATCAGTCTACCTCAAGATCCAGCAATACTACTTTAGGGATATACACAAAGACGCACACTCACACCACAAGAACATTTGCTCAACTGTGTTCATAGTAGCATTATTCGAAATAGTCAGTACCTGAAAATAACCTAGATGCCCCTCAACCGAAGAATGGATAAAGAAAATGTAGTACATTTACACAATAGAATACTACTCAGCAGTAAAAATCAAAGACATCTTTAAATTTGCAGACAAATAGGTGGAATTAGAAAAAGCATCCTGAGTAACGTACACCAAACCCAGAAAGACAAATATGCTATGTACTCACTCACAAGTAAATACCAGACATAAAGCAAAGGATATCCAGCCTACCGTCTACAACTCCAGAGAAGCTAGAACCCTCTTCTAGAAACAGATGGAAGCAGATGCAGCGATCCACAACTAACCATTGGGCCGAACTCCTGGAGCACAATTGGAGTAAGGGAGGAGTGATAATATGAACAAAGGGGTCAAGACCATGATGGGGAAACCCACAGAATCAGCTGACTCAAGCTAGTGGGAGATAACTGACTCCAGACTGACAAATGAGGAACCTGCATAGGACCAAACTAGGACCCCTGAATACTGGTGACAATGGTGTATATGCAGTCACCGGCAGTGGGACCAGGCTCTCTCTAACTCTAATGTATGAACTGACTTTGTGGAGCACATTCTCTCTGGAGAAGTACCTTGCTCAGCCTAGGCATGGGGCAGGGCCTTGGTGCTGCCTCGACAAGGTGAAGGGACAGATTTAGTTGACTTTCCAGGGGAGGCCTTACCCTATCTAAGGAGCAGATGGGTGATGGGGTAAAGGGAGAGGGGGAA